TTGCAAGTACCACTGAGGGAAACGGAGGTGAAGCCAGCGAGAATATATGATATATCAGTATGAATCAACCTCAAAAGGAAATGAATGACTTTTAATAAAAGAATAATTCAGCTGTATGTTGAAGACGAAAACACGAGATAATAAGGATTGAGAACAAAAAGACATTTGTAAAGAAAGATTAAAGGAAAAGAAATTAGAAAAAGAAGAAACACGAAGCCCGAAGTCAGATAATTACAGCATTCAAAGACGCTTCAAGCACAAAATAAAAGAGCTAAGCGAAGAAGAACTGTCGTGGATTAGATCTGAAAACGAGAAAAAATAGAAAAGACCCGACAAACAGGATGAGAAAGTAACAAACTAGGGTAAGGAAAGTGAAACTGTTAAACCTAACGGTTTTTTTAAAACTCCAATTAAGACGTTGTGCACACTTTTTACAGATAAGAGTGAAATCCTTGCATCATGGTTGCTGTCAGTGGTTCCTCCCAGCACTGGGATGCATCATATTCCACCACAGGACGACCGCTTTGCTCTTAATTAGCTCAAGAAGTCTTTGTGCTGAGGAAGGTCAGACATTTCAGCGTGACGATGCTTTCTTTTATGTCTTTAAAAAAACAGAGATATTGTGAAATGAGAAATGCCCAGATAATAAGTAATGTTTTTCTGCTGGGCCTGTGGAGTTTTCAGAAAGTTTGAGTGTTTAATTAGAGGAGGAGGCCCACCCATAAATCCTTTTAATGGGTTCTAACCCTGTGGAGATTTCAGAAGATGGAAGGTCTGCTTGGTGAATTTCTACAGTGTGTGCTTGAGAAAGCCAGCAGAGCTGTAGCTATTAATTATTATTCTCCACTTGTAAGCAGTTTTATTTTGAAAATCTTAAGATCAGATTTTTTCGCGTGAAGATTGTTAAGTGATTACGGATATATGACATTATCACAATAAGAGTACAGAACACAGAAGGCATCAGTGACAACACACAGGTGGGTTGCAAAGTGGCTTGCAGAGGAGCATGTAGGCCTCAGTCACACAGGCCTGAACGTGTATTCCTCGATCGGTTGGTGAGGGGTTTCTGGGTGAAATTAGTCGTAAAGACGGCGCTCCACCAAAAAACTGATTGCGACTTGTTTGGTTGCCAGGAGACTGCTGTGGTTGCCTGTAGCTTTCATGGAAGACGTGTAAGCTCCATGCTAACCTTGCATGTTTCTAAAGGGAAACTCAGAAGGAGCACTTCTGAGAGAAGGGCATGTGTGTACATGGGGTATATCTTATTTTACTAGGTTTGAATTTGGATTTTGCTAGCGCCTAGCGAGTAGTTGGCGTCTCCTATGCAAACTATGATCGACCACGACAGTCTCGTACCAACCAAAGCAACTTCCTGCCATCACCTTCCAACTGGATGAGGAATCTCGGTTTTTCCCTTATCAACCGGTGGCTCCCGCCGGTCTCCACACCTGTGTGACTGGGGTTTAAAGCAGCTTACATAATGCTCAGGTTAACCCGACCAGATTCAAGATTTATTCAAAATTCTGTCTAAAAATGAGCATTTGTTCTTTGATTTAGACATTTGTGTGTCTGCAGAACCAAATGTCCTCTACAGATTGTGCCTCTTAGTTTAGAGGAAGGCATTAGGGATTGTTTGTAGCTAAATGGGCTAGCGAGGTTATTCTCACATGATGTGAAATTTGCTTTGTCTCACTGAGGAAATGTCAGAATTTTTTTTTTGTGGCAAAAGACAAAATCTTTGTCAAGCAGCCAAGAAATACAGTGAGAGGACATCGTGGTGAGAAACTTTAAGAGACGGGCTCATGTTAGAATTAAAGCAACACATTCCAAAAATCACACATTTTATCCCCTCCAGTCTCCAAAGTACGTGCGTACTCACTTTCTGATCCCAGTGCCAGGTCCTGCCTTGTTCCATGAGCGCCATGCACAGTGGAGCTGCTGCTGGCTGTGTGCAGGGTCCAGCTCACACCTGACTGGGGATCAGCCGACCACCCGCACAGGCTCTGCTCAAAGCCACACACGGCCGACAGGGGCGGAGTGGTGGCTGTGAATCGAGAAAGAAAAACAGATTACAAATAAAGGTTTTAAAAGTGTCTGTTTGGGCTAAAATACTACTGATTACCACCCGACAGCTTCTTCTGAGTGCTTTTAGTATTGTGTTGGATTTAAACAAATTCTTTTTTTCTCAGTTTTCTTTTGTGAGACTCAGTCCTGTAATGGCAGGGTCTTTATTTTGATAGTGCCGTGAGCGACATTCGCATTGTGTTGAGACGTTTTGCAATAGCGCTCAATGCAATATGACATCTTGAAAATCATACTGAATACAAATATTAGAGTAACGGAGAATAAAAGCCAGACTGAAAGAAAGAGTAATTGCAGCAGAGATAACAGAAAGCAAACACAGACAGAAAATGGACAGAAAGAAAACAGCGGAGCAAAAGGTGAATGATACAAAACTCAAGGGGTGACATGAAAGTAATAAGATGAGCACAAATGAGAAGCAAAAATGATGCTGTAATTAGACTGCAATAAGCTGCTACCTTCAGTTGTGCTGAAACAAAAAAGCAAAGGCGCTTCCTTAAACTACATCACAATACGCTCTGCATAAACTCCAGTGAGGCAGTCGGTGACCTATAGCTGTGAAATCATATTCCCAATATGTGAGCCTGTGTTTGTATGAAGATCCTCTGGCTGTGCGAGCTTATTTTCACTCAAACAGAGCTTCCTGTGGGACTATTGAATCTAACAGACTTCAAAGCCCAGAGGCCCCACGGTGCACACTGACATCATGAGTTTGACCTTAAGAGCTCGAGTGTGTGCACAAGTGTGTGTGTGTGCGGATGAGAGATGAGCAGAAATAAATGCATGCGTGCATGCAAGAAATCTGCATATGTGAGAGTGCAGATAGCATGCACTTGAATGAAGAAAGCTTGAGCGTGTGTGTGTGTTACAGCAAAATGTGAAATAGTCATGAAAAATAACCGGTTTGTTTGCATATGTTGATTTAAAACTTTTTTCCTGACAGTCAGCAGAACTTTGAAACTGACGTATTTCAGCAGGAACTTTAGTTAGCACGTGTGGCGCATATTCTGTCCAAAGTGGGGACACTTCACCCCGGCAACCAAGAAAACAGAGCTGAAAAGAAGTGGCGACCGCTGCATTTTAAGTCACAGCATGGTCTTTTTATAAACCGAGCTGTTTTGTGTGGGTACATCTTCTTAATTTGCCTTTAATGATACATTATGAATGTGTTTTAAAATAGACCCTCTACATCAGGGGTGGGCAACTCCAGGCCTCGAGGGCCGGTGTCCCTGCAGGTTTTAGATGTGTCCTTGAACCAACACAGCTGATTTAAATGGCTAAATTAGCTCCTCAACATGTCCTGAAGTTCTCCAGAGGCCTGGTAACGAACTAATCATGTGATTCAGGTGTGTTGATCCAAGGTGAGATTTAAAACCTGCAGGACACCAGCCCTCGAGGCCTGGAATTGCCCACCCCTGCTCTACATCTTGCCCTATGACAGCAGGGATAGACTCCACCCACCCTGCGACCCTGAACCTGTGCCGATATGATGTGAACTCGGTCACACCACCAATGCCTCCAACGTGGATTTTGTTAGGATGCCTGGGTCGTTAAGTTTTGAGTTTATTATATTATTTATCATTTCTAGTCTTTGGTTTCTTGGTTAGAGTTCTGCCTTATGGTTTACTGTTCCCTCTGTTGCAGTGCCTGCCTGTGAGTCTGTGTCTTTAAGTTCAGTCTGTTTTACTTTGAAGGTCCATGTCTTATGTTAATGTATCTGGTTTTGCTTCCCCTGTTTCTTTACGCCTGATTTGCCCCAACTGTGTTTCCCTCCTGTTACCGTTCCCTGATTGCCCCCTCTGTGTATTTAAGCCCTGTGTTTCTCTGTGTCGCGATCTACCCTCATCTACCCTTATCTTGCTGTGTAAGTGTATTTTGTGTTCTCAGTTTTGTTACCCATTTGAGTTCAGCATTAAAGCTGTTTAAGTTCACGTTTGTGTCCGGAGTCTGCACTTTGGGTCCTTTTCCTGCCTGCACATTTCATAACAGATTTTTCATACTTTATATGTGAAAAACATCAGTTTTGTGTGCCTGGCACAAATGAGTGGACGTGACACCGGACAGATGAAAACACGCTTTTAAGAAAATAAGAGGTGAGAAATTCACGTCGAGGAGGCGAAAAAGGTGAAAATTTGTGTCTAGAAACACAAACCAATAGATCAGGTTGTGACGGTTTCACAAACTGTGTGTGTGTGTGTGTGTGTGTGTGTGTGTGTGTGTGTGTGTGTGTGTGTGTGTGTGTGTGTTTACCAGATCTCATCACAGAGGTTGTCTGTTCCACTCTAGGTGTGGTGGGGGTCACAGTGTCAGGTACAGTGGTGGTTTCTATCAACACAAAAAAATAAACACAAAAGGTTAGAATAGAATAGAATAGAATAGAATAGAATAGAATAGGCAATAGATAATTTGTTTTATTGTTTTCTCTCCAAGACAGTCAAACGCTTTGGGGTCCTTAGGGAGTAGTAAAGCGCTATACAAATACAGGCCATAATAAGCAGAGACAACACTGGGCTTGGAATAACTAAATCTGAGCTCGTCTTGTTAAATATTCACAGTTTGCTCTGCGACTGCTTCGCTGCACAGTGGAAAAGAGTAATATTTTAACAGTGCAGCTGTGATGTTTGAGCAAAGCCAGGCTTTAGACACGGCGCTAACTGACGATGCTTTAAATTCTCTTCGCCGTTTTCGGGGGTTGACGTTTGTCGGGATCCAGGCAGAGACAGAGCGAGCTGATGCAGTGAGCTGGCACTCAGCTCAGGACTGTGCCACACCGCCCTGTTTATCCACTGCAAGCTGGCATGCACGCTCACACAATGCTATGATGATAGATGCTGCACTCACACTGACCTTGGAGCACAGCAGCGTGCATCGAGTGTATGATAGATCAAACACACACACACTCACAGACCTGCAGAGCAAAGACGTCAGCATTCGGGTATGACAGTGTAACCCCGAAACCTTCTGGTCTTAATAAGCAGTTTTTCTACTGCTGGTTAAGATTCCTTAAATGGCAATGAATGCTTTCCCATCTCTCTCCCTCACACGCACACACACACACACACTGGTGAAAGTAAGTGTGTGTCTGCGTGTTGACGTAAGGGAACAGAAGATTGGCTTGCGTGGCACAAGCCAGACACCACAAACCTCTCACCAAATTATTCTCAGAAGCTACTTTTTTCTTCTGTTCGTTTCGTGGCTTTTCTTTCTTTCCTCCCTTCATATTTCTTTCCTTCTTTCCATCTTCTGTCTCTCGTTTGTCACAATAAATCGGACCAGAATCGGCTCTGCTTCGCAAAACCACTATTGCCACCACAAAAAGCTCTAAACACACATAAACACACATGCTCCCTCTCTCTCTCGACTCTCCTGCACAGAAGTGAAATCGTACCCAGTCTTGTTTCTGTTTTACCACAACCGCAATTTTCGTCTCCATAACTCTTTCCCTCGCTCTCTCTCTCTGTCGTCTCTCCCTGAGGTATATTTCGATTTCTCTTTGCAGCTCTTTCTTCGTCTCTTCCTGTTGCTCTTTCTCACTCTCCTCCACCTTTCAGCACTTTTCTCTGTGCTGTAACTCTGTCCACTGTTATTTGATGTAGATTCTAATCATTCAGTTGAATCTCAGACTGCTGCAGATTTGCTTCGAGTGTAATTGTTGTAGATATTTCCATGACTCACGCGGTGATCTTTCTCTGTGTGTGTGTCTTGTTTAGTGTTAACTGGTAACCTTTGCAAGCCTCTGCTAATAGCTTTGAGTGCACTGCAGTGTTGGGGTTCATCCACTCTAATGTGTGTGTGTGTGCGTTACTTTGAGTTGTTTACACAGTCCACTCACAGTCAAAGTATGCACGATTATTATGTAAGCCCAAACACTCATATTGCTCTTTCAGCACAGACACACGCGCACGCTCAAAATTAGATATTAACATTTAATAAGCAGCTCCCAGCTGCTGACATTAAGCTGTTTTAATTTGGTGCCCTTTACCACTGTAATTAGCCCCCCATGTTGAGGGGAGAGAGGGAGGAATAGGAGATGAGAGGGAGACACCGAAAAGGGAACATAACCCTTTCCACCTCGCACCACCAATTTCCTAATTAGTGACCACACACAGCTCCAGTCAGCCTCCTATTTCGATCTCCATCTCCTCTCCACCTGCCTAATTCAATTTGGCTCTCCTTTCCTCCCCTCTTCTTAACTCCTCCTACTCCTCATCCTCTTCTTCAATCCACCAGGTTCCTCTCTGGATCAGCTGTAAAGATCAGAAATAATTTAAACAACTTAATTTAATAATATTTTTAAAAATGTTGTTGCAGGAACTTGAACTCTTACTTGCTGAATGGAAATAAATGGCAGGACAAATACAAGGTGGCAGAGTTCAGTCACTCGTGGGAAGATTGAAACTGACGTGCATGAGAAAAACCAATCCTGACGTACATATTCTGCAGATGGGTCCACCAGAGCTGACTTACAGAAACCTGCAGAGACCCTCCGACTCGATCTTTTCCACACACAGACGCACACTTTCTAAACTGAAGAACAGAAGGTGTCACAGGCCCAAGGGCTCATTGTAAAGCTGCTGACTGAGCAAGGCAAAGCGGAAACACAGAGACGAAAACTGTTCAATTATGGAAAGAGCTCTGGGTATAAATCTACCTCTGTCAGCCTAAATAATGACTACTGACACTGTGTGTGTGTGTGTGTGTGTCTAAGAGACAGAGAAAGCTGTTGCTACTCAATTATTGGTGACATGGTGCACGTGTGTAAGTATGGAGGGGATTTCCTCCACTTAATGACTGAAAGACTGAAAGGCATGCCTTCCTTACAGACGGAACTTGCTAACCTGTGTGTGTGTGTGTTTGTGTGTGTGTGTGTGTGCATGTTTGTGAGGACAGAAAATTGGCGTGCTACTATACTTGTGGGGCCCATCAGCCACTTATGAGTATGGTGATCGCTTTGGGGAAGAAGCTGTGTGGAGAGCAATGGCGTCTTCGGTGGATCTGTTAATAATAATAATAATGGATTGCATTTATATAGTGCTTTTCGGGGCCCTCAAAGCACTTTACAATACCACTATTCATTCACTCTCACATTCATACACTGGTGGAGGCAGCTACAGTTGTAGCCACAGCTGCCCTGGGGCCGACTGACAGAAGTAGGTGGCAAGTGAAGTGTCTTGCAACGACCGAGACTGTCCGAGCCGGGGCTCGAACCGGCAACCTTCCGGTTACACGACAAACTGCCAACTCTTTGAGCCACGACCGCCCTATGCTGTTAGTCCGATATGCAAATTGGTGTGGGTCCAGAGCCGGGGGGAAACAGGTTCTGATTAGAGATGGCACGATACCACTTTTTTATGTCCGATACCGATACCGATATCATGAATTTGGATAGCTGCTGATACCGATATGAATCCGATATAGTGTGTTTTTTAATCAATAAAACGTTTTTTTAATATCTTGCTGCATTTTGTATAAGTTTATACTCAAGTTTAAATAAATAACAACACTAAAGCTATTCTGTTATACCTGTATGTAAAAAATACACTGCGCCCAAAATATTTCATAGTTCAGCAACACTGGTCAATCTAATAAACTTAAACCTGCACCATCCTCCCTATTCTGGTATTTTAAAGAGTAGTTAGCAGAAATATTAAGCAACCTAACTAATAGGGTTCCAACTCCCAGCAAAAAAAAATAGGGAACCACCCCCCACCCTCCACCTCATGATGCTTAATCGATGTAATCAAATTTAATTTGATGCAGGGGGGAAAATGCACAGAAATAAATTATTTTTCAAGAATAATTAAATAGATTCAACATCTTTCTTCAACAGAACTGCAGAATTCACAGATGGTACCTTCCCAAAGAAAAAAGTACTATAGCTTAGTAGGGTATATTAGACTTAACAGTTATATATACAGTAATGGCCTTCTATATATTTTACATCAGATTAAAACTTTGGGTGTAAGAGTCAGATAATTATTTATTAAACGCTCGACATTTTAAATGAGAATAAGAAAGAAAAGTATGTCTTTGTGCCCCCTTTTCCCTGTTCATGCCCTATCGGCCCCCCTGGCTAAACTTTGCTAGATCCGCCCCTGCACAGTTACAGCCGTCAGCTGCGTAGAAAAAGATCCTCGAGTAGAAAGTAATATTAAATACATTCTAACAACAGCTTATCAAGGTTAAACGTGCTGCTGTTGTTCAGCTGCTGGTTTCCTCTTTCTGGTGCAAAGTGGGCCAAAAACAAAGAAGAGAGCCGATCAGCTGATCATTGATCAGTTTCATGATTGAAGTAGCAGCAGGAGGGAGAGAGAGAGGCAGTCGCTCCATATATCTGTTGTTAAGCTTTACGTGGGAATGCTTTACAAACATTCAGAGATGAACTTACACACTTGCTTTACTTCTCTCTGGGATAACTTCCTCGGAGATGAAATGCTGGGAGGCTACAAATACACACAGCCGCTCCATCATGTGATGCATACTGCTGCGACGTGCTACGGTTATGAGCCGAGTTACGCCGTGTAGCAAGTTTTGTGAGGTGCTTTTTTGATATTTAATGGATCGGATTACATTTTTTATTTCTCGCCGATATCCGATCCAGTAATTTGGGTCAGTATCGGACCGATACCCATACGTAATATCGGATCGGTCCATCTCTAGTTCTGATGCGCTCCAGAACCAGTTTCTCAAAGCACTTGGTGATGACAGCATTATACTTGGAAGCAGATAAAAGTAGAAAATCTGATCCTAGTGCTGTGCAATGAGTCTAAAGCAGGGGGCTGTTAAATGCTAAAATATGACATCACATCTCAGGTGATGTTGGAAAACATCTGAAGGCCAAATCAGACAACTGTTCTTAAACCCAGAGCTGTGGCTTGTTTGTACTGTATGTGACTTAAGCTCATTATGACTCCATCTGTAAATGAGTGGTTTGGAAAATGAGGTCTTTACAGCAGCGTATGATTTCCAGACTAAATTGTACAGAAAGCTACCAATTATATAATATTTTTAAATTATTTTTTAATGATAAGTGCTACAGTGGACCACAAGGTTTCACATTAGTAGACAGGGAAGGGGAATTTCTGCAAAAACTGAGCACATGACTGTGGTTAAAGAGCTGCCAACAATCAAACTTCTGGTTAAAAGGCAGAGCCATGAGCTGTGCAGCTGAGAAGCAAAAGCACTCTTCATGTCAGGAAACTACAGACAGTAAATTGCTCATTAGCCCATTGTGCAACAAAGCACCACAAGGTATACGACTGTAATTGTTGCCTTAAGTGTCAAGACAAGTACGACAACAACTGAGATGATAAAAAGAAGCTGCT